ATCAACCTCGGGCATTGCGGCAAGTTGCTCTGCGCTGGCTTCCTACCTGGCACGACGGCGGTGGTTTGGGCGCCGCGGCACCTCGCGGGGGCGGGAGAAGCTGGCCTCGCCCGACTTCTGCTGGGGTTCGAGACTCCCTCCCGCTCTTCTTCTCGGAGGCAAGCGTCTGGGGCAAGGCGTGCCGAGGACGCAGTGGGCGTCGCAGGCGGTCAGCTGAGGGCGATCAAGCTAGACGCAGACGCATGGGGCAGGCCCGTCTGGGGGCCCCTCGCGCGGCGCTCCGCGCGCGGAGCCTCTTGAGACGCGCGCGCGGGAGCAAGGGCTGGGCTGTGGGCGGCGGGGGGGGCGGCTGGAAAAGGGCGGCCTGAGCTGCTCTCTGTTGAGCCAAGTGGGGCTGGCGCGTCGCCTGCCTTTCCCCGTCGGGTTCGGGCTTTTCTATTTCTTCCGACTGCCTGCCTCGCGGCCTCCGGCGCCGCGCTCAGCGCGACGGGCCTGCAGCTTGCGCAGGAGCGGGGCAATTCGCCCATCTACCTTGGCGCGGTCACCATGCCCATGGGGTGCAAGAGCGCGACGGGCTTGGTCTGGCCGCCCAAGAGGCACTCGCCGTTGCCGAGACGGCTCGGTCGATCCACATCAACCTCGGTTCGCCGCTCAGCTCCAAGAGCGGTGCCCGGGTGCAGGAGCGCAAGGGGCTTGGGGGGGCATTGGTTGGCGGCAGGGACGGTCGCGCGCGGCCTCTTCCTGAGAGGGCGGCATTGCCGGCGCAGCTCGCCGCCTACCTGCTGTCCGAGGCCGCGGCGCGGAGGGAGCTGCAGATCGCGATGGGCCACTGGCGCCGTGTCGGGACGTCCCGCCGTGAGCGCGCCACGGTGCGCGCTCGAGTCTCGAGAGCGCGCTCGCTTGCCCAACGCGGTCGCCTACGAGCTCCTCCACGGCCTCCGCCTGCTGCTGCTGCTGCTGCTGCTGCTGCTGCGCGAATTCGGCGTCCGAGCTCCGAGCTGCCGTCGGCCTCGCGATCGCGAGAGGCGACGCGTCGGAGACAGGCGTCGTCGCCTGCTACGCGCGCTGCCTCGAGCCTTCGTTTGTGCCGACAGCCCTGCATGAGCTTGCGCGCGCCAGGGGCGCGTGCCGTGATGCCGTTGGCCTCGTCGAGCTGTTCGCAGGCATCGGGGGATCTCGCATGGCGTTCGAGCACTTGGACGTCGACCTGGTTTTGCAACCGGCTGCGGGGGTTGTCCGGGCCGCGAGGCGGGACCCGAGGGCCAGGTGGCCTGATGCCAAGCCCTTTGGCGACGTCATGCCCATCGCGCTCTGCGACGTCAAGAGTCTCTCTGGGCCTGCGCCCCGCCTCCGCGCCCTCTTCGCGACCGGGGGCAGCCCGTGACAGGACGTGACGAGGGTCAACGTCGAGGCCTTGGGCTGGCGCGAGGAGCGGGCGCTTCTGGTCGCGGAGATCCCTGGGGTGGTCTCGCCAGTGCGCGACGCTGCGCCGTCCCTGATTGTCTCCCAGTTGGTCGAGAAGGTGGCCTCGATGTCCACGGCTGCAAGGGAACGGTTCCGTCCGTCGCTGCCGGTGGCCCCATTGAGCTGTGCTCAAGCGAGTGCAGTCCAGCCAGGAGGCCGAGATTATATTGGGCCTTCTTCCATCTCTGCCACTGTCCAGCGTTTAGCTTGGAGGTCCAACCCGGAGTGATCCAGGCGAGGCCCCGAGGGCCATGGCTGGCCTGGGCAGAGCAGCTGGAGGGGGCTGAGCGCCCGCGAGGAGAGGATTGCCCTTGGGCGAAGCGCATGCGCCCCATCCTTCGCAATAGGCTACCCGCGCGCCCAGCGGGCCCGCGGGCGACGCCGAGCGCGGCGAGGCAAGGCTGGAGGGCTGACACCTTCAAGTATCCTCCTTGCCAGTATCAGGAGTCAGACCTGGCACGGGCGAAGGGCGGCATGCTCAGGCCCCTGTGCAGCAGCGAGAGGAACGCGCGGCTTGGTTTCCCGCGGCAGCTGCGCCCCCGCCACTCCTGAGAAGCTCAAGAAAGGCCGGCCGAGGCCGAGGGCGCCAAGTGCGGTCTCTGCGGCGACGGCTTCTCCGTCCCAGTTGTTGCTTGCTTGCTGGGAAGAGGCCATGTGTCGCGCGGGCTGCTGGAGGCCCCGCCTGCCCTGGCTCAGTGCTGGGGGGCCCAGATGCGAGGACGCAGCCTTCCTAGGCGACCTGCGGGACAAGAGCATGGACCTGCTCGAAGACGCCGATGCTCACCGCATGTGCTGTGAGATCACGGCGCGGTCTGCGGCCTTCCTCGGACGTCAGGCTCGCCACCAGCACCCTTCTGGATCCTTCGAATTGGCCGAGGAGGGGCGTCGAGGGCAACGGGTAGCGCTGGCGCGTCAGCTTTGGCGACCCCCGGACCCCCGCTCGCCAGGCACGCATCAACGCGCTCGAGATGCTGGCTTTGCTCGCGACCTTCGATTGGTGGAGCCGAGGGCTTCTCTCCTGCCGGGCCATGTCATTAATTTCTGCGACTTGCAGGTGTGCGTCGCCGTCGTTTGGAAGGGGCGCTCAATTTCGTTTTTGCGACAACGCCTGCCGTCTCGCCTCGACGCCCTGCTGCTCGCCGCCTCTTGCCGCCCTCATTGCGCCCGTGCGAGGTTGGAGCTAAATCCAGCCGGCGCATCGAACGCGCGGCGGCAGCCGCCATCTTCGACGGCGCGGGGAAGCAGAGGCGGGCAGCGCGGGCAAAGGCTGGCAGCTCACGACCACTGCAGCTTCAACCGGCGATGCTCAAGCGCTACAGGGCGGCCGCCGTCTTCTCTTGCAAGTGGCTCGAGGGCACTGGCGAATCGCTGCCGCCCAGCGTGGAGGCCGCAGACGAGACCCCCACCGAGCTCGCGGAGGATTGCTGAGCAGCGGGCGATGCCCGCTCACTGGTCTGAGACACCTTGTCAGGCATCCAGCATTTCCACTCCGCAGCTTCGTCGCGGCCTCGACGAAGCCTGGAAGCCCTGCGGACCTGGCGCAAGAACGAGGTGCCCTCCAGAGCGCGACCGCCGCTGGCGCAGCAGGCGCTTGCCATGGTCAGCTACGCCCTGGAGGACAGTGACGCCAGCATGGCGGCTGGCCTGCTGGCGGCTTTCAATGGCTGTCTCTGTCCCGCGCGAGCCCCGATGAGCTCGGGCCAGCGCGCTTTTGACCTCGAGCGCGGCACTTGCCGCATCAACCTCGGCCAAACCAGGAGTGGCAAGAGGGCCGGCGTTCCCGAGCGCGTCGTTATAGCCGACCTCGAGGCAGCGGTCCAGATTGCCCAAGTGTTGGCTGGGCGTGCTAAAGGCAATGCCCTTCTCCTCCGCAGCGTGCCGTGCAAGATTGGAGCTGGCCCGCAGAGGCGCGAGCCCTACAGCCTGCGGCGAGGAGAGGCCACCCGCCACTGGCAGGCGCCCGGAAACTTGTCGCGCACCACGCTCCGAGGAAGGTGGCAACATCAGCCTGCGCGCCGCGTGTGAATTCAGGGCAGCGTCGCCACGCTCGAGCTGCTCCGCCGCATAGCACAGGAGAAGCGGCGAATTGGCATAGGAGTTGCGCCACCGCGGCGGCTGTCTGCACCCAGAGCCTGCCCGAGGCCAGCCAGCCATCGGAGGTCAGCTTGGGCAAGGTTTTCGGGCTCGCATTCCTAGGCGTGCGCGGCTGGGGCCCAGCTGAACCATTTCGGCGGCGACTTCGCGATCGGCGCCCCGGAGATCGCGGCGGCCGCTTTTTTTCATCCGCCCGCGGCCCCATCGGCCCCAGTCTGCAGCGCTGTTGCGAGGGGAGATGGACTTTGCCACTCCCTGCCCCGCGGGGCTGCTCGCGGCGGAGGCTTCAGGGGGGGGCTGGAGGCCTGCGGACTGAGGCGGGCCGCGGCGCCGCTGCGCGGTGGGCCGCGACAGCCCGCCGCCTCGCGCGCGGGCGCCCGCCGCGGCGCCGCCTGGACAAAGCGCGCCGCGGCCGGCGAGGGAGGCAGGATGAGAAGCGCTAGCATCTCGTCTTCAGCAAGTAGCGCACGCTCCGACTTGGCCTCCCGCGGCCCTTTCTTTCTGGGTCCACCGCCCGCCCCGCGACAATTGCCAGGTGCTGCCCCACTGGGGGGTTCTTCGGCAAGTGGGAGCTCTCGTTGAGAGGGGGCCGCTTACGGCCAAGGCCCAGCTGAACCCGTTCGGCTGCGACTTCGCTATCGGAGCCCCGGGCGGCCCCCCTTTTTTCCGCCCGCGGCCCCGGAGGCCCCAAGCACGCCACCAACTCAACGCCTACCCGGGGCCCCCCAACCACACGATTCAAAGTTGACGAAGCATGGCCCCCAGATTACTTATGTTAAGAGTTGTCTGTTTTATCGTAGGCGCCTACTATACCGATCCTCCTTGTTATTTCTCCTTGTCCTCCCCCTCGCTTTCCTCCTCCTCTTGCGCCCCCCCTCCTCCGCGCACCCCCCTCTCTTGCGAGCCCAGGGCCCCGCGGGATCCCGGTGCCGCGCAAGGGCCGCCGCGGAACCCGAAAACGTCAAAATAGCATTCCGTCGTGATGTTTTGACGACGCGCGGTTTAGTGTTGGAACCGACGTTCGGCCCCCCGACCTCTCCCAAAGCGCGCTCTGGCTAGAACCGCCCGAAGGCGAACCCGGCCGCGGCGACCACGAGAAGGCCTGGGAGAGGCCAGAAGCGCTCATGGGCTGGAGGCGGGGCGGATAGATGCGGTGCGCAGTGGGGGTTTGCAGGGACAATCACCACCCACCAAACCACCCCAACCCAACCCGAAGGCCCAAATTTATCATCGATTTCCAGTGGGGGGGGGTCGGGGAACACGGAAAATCACATGGAACCCGTACCCCCCCAACCCGACATTCGTATCAAGTTCGGGTCTTCGGGTTGGCTTGGGGTGGTTTGGTAGGTCGTCAGACAGATGCGGTGCGCAGTGTGGGCTTGCAGAGACAACGGCGTGCACTGCTCGGCCCCCGGAGGATCTCGGTGCGGGATCTCTGGCAGGCGAGGGCCGGGCGGGGCCTCGCCGCGGGCGGCCTCGGCGGCGCGCGCCGCGGGCCGCCGGGGCGCGAGGACCGCGGGCGCGCGCATCCGGCATATGGTCTCTTTTCGCACGCTCCGCGCGGGGATCCCGCCGCGCAGAAGAAGGAGGAGGAGGAGGAGGAGGAGGAGGACGAGGAGGAGGAGGAGGAGGAGGAGGAGGAGGAGGACGAGGACGAGGACGAGGACGAGGTTCACTGCTCATAAAGGGAGAGAAGAACAACGGGGTGTGGGTGTCCATCCGCGGCTAACTTTTTGTTCCCCGCTTGAGGTTTCTCTCCCCACGCGGGGCCCGCCGACAGGCCTTTCCCCCAAAAGCATCACATAGCCTCTGAATCAGGCTGCCGTTTGGCCTTGCGCGACTGAGCCAGCGCCCGAGCTTCCAGCTTTCGAGCGCTTAGCTCTTCCACCTCCTAACGGGGACCCAGTTCAGAGGCAAAAAACACAGCAGCAAACTCCAGTTTACCTGGAGCCGCCTGTTCGATGAGGGGGCGCGCTCTTCGGACTCGCTTGCGCACAGGACCCCTCCTGTGCCACTCCAACGTGGCTGGACCAACTCACCTGGGTGGCCTCGGATGGGGCACACACGTTACCAAAAAGCAAGCCTGCTTTCGTGGTGTGCTCTCCCTTCTTGAGCCTCTGTCTCTTCTGCTCTCACCCTCTTGCTTCTGTCTGCCCCGCCCCCCGTTCGTTCTCGTCCCCGGTTCTCGCCTTTGCTTGCTTGTGCCTTTGCATCCTGGCCCTTCCGCCCCTTCACCCTCTCTGTTCGTTCTCGTCCGCGCTTCTGGGTCATCCATTCAGAAACGTGCCTTGTCTTTCAAGTTAAAAGCGGTGGCGGTCTCTTTCAATAGACTGCCTGGCCGCACCCCCGAAAGTAGCATTCAATGTGTCGACATTGTGCGTGTCTTAGGCTTTGCGAAAGACAGGAACAATGAGGAGGCGTGCGTGTGCATTCGCACAACCTGTGAGCACACCAGTCTCCAGTGCCCGAGGCCGTCTGCGAGCTCTACAAGTCGTTTTGAGACTCTCCACGTCTGGGATCTCTTCCCTGCGACCTTCTCTGCGGCCGCCCTCCTCTGCTCAACTTGCTAGAGCGTGCCCATGGAGCGGCGCGGGCCAGCAGCGACTCGAACGTGTTAGTGACCGCCAGCGCTGCGGACGAAAAATGTGTCCGTGTGTGCGTTTTGCCCACAAGAGGCCTGATGCGGTTTCCGTGTGTTTCGCCGAAATTTGGCTCTGCCCGTTGACTTCCGTCATCGGGGCGTTGTCGTGTGCGTGTGTCCACGCTCCAGGTCTACACCTCCGCAGCGCCCCTCATCCTTTTCCTTCCCCGCGCATCTGACGACATGATCCCCGAAAGTCCCGGCACGCTTCCCGGGTGATAGTTTTTCGTGCCGGGGCCGTGCTTCATGGAAGCAGGACCAGACAGCAGGCCCTAATTACGCCAGAACCGAGGAAAAAGTGTAGGATTGGAAACTTAAAATCGCCAGAGATTTACATCTCCCACCCGACCACCACATTCGGGGGTTGTTGCCTCTGGCACAAGGTGCCCCCAGGCTTTTCGCTCCATGGTGGAGCCCCTAGGGCCCTTTGGACCTCGTGAGGAATGCTCAGGAGGCCGTGCCTCCTTGGAAATCCTGGGGGCACGTTGGGCCAGGGGCATTTTTAGCAACACTCGACACATCCTTCATCAGCAGCGCCGTCGTGCAGCCCAAGGCCGCCCGAGCCTCCGATCGTCTCGGCGCGGCCCTCGTTCTCATCGGGCGGGGCGGGAGCAGGCCGTGGCCACCTCCCCCTCGCACCTTCGCCCACCGCGGCCGAGCCTCTCATCCTCCTCCGCCCTCCCTCGTCCATTCCTTCTCCTTATGAATAATTATTCCCTGTGGCACCCCGAGGCCGGTCGGGCGGGCCTGGCGTTTCCCCTGATACTTCTTCCTCGCCATTTATTATCCTGAGGCCTGAATAAAAGTGGCAACCGTTTCGCAGATGGAGGGAGGGTGTTTTCCCAAATGCGATTTTCGCTTTAGCGTCGCGCGCATTGGTTTTAAACATTTGCAAGAGCTTCACGGATTGAGGGCGGGTGGTTTTCAAAATGTGGTTCTCGCTGTAGCGCCGCGCGCATTGTTGTCCCCCACATCCTAAGTGTGTTCCTGTTTTCTTTGGACACCCCGCGCATTCCTCGCATCCCATCATCTCTTCTCTTCTCCCTTCGCACACTCACTCACACAATCACCCACGCACCATTATCATGATAACACCTTCAGCTTCTTCTCCTTCGTACACTAACTCGCTCAATCATCCACACCGTTATCATCAGCCACACACTGACCACACGATCGCTCCATCACGCATTCAATCACCCACACACCGTCATCACCCACTCACTCACCCACTCACCCACCCACCCAGTCACACATTATCATCAGCATCGTCGTCATCATTCACACACTCATTCACACATTCACCATCATCATTCACCACTCATTCACCCACCTACCCACCCACTCACTCACTCACTCACACACACGTACGTCATCATCAGCATCAACATCATCATCACCATCACCATCATCATCATCATCATCATCATCATCATCATCATCATCATCATCATCATTATCATCATCATCATCATCATCATCATCATCATCATCATCATCATCATCCTCGCTCATTCATTCAATCACTCACTCACTCATTCACTCACTCGTACCCATACTTGAGGAAGTATCAAGCGGGAGCCTCGTCTGTAGGTGAGTTGCGAGGAAGTCTCAGGCGGGAGCCCACCCTATAGGGACCGCAGATCATGTTATTAATCTGGGCGGGCCATTGGAATCTTCGCCACTTTTCGGCCCTTGAGGCCTGACAGTGGAGAAGTATCAGGCGGGAGCCACGTGTGTGGGTGAATTGCGGGGAAGTTTGAGGTGTGAGCCCCTTCCCATGGATCCCGCAGCTCATGTTATCAATCCGAGCGGGGCATCGGAAGTTTGTAAGAGTATGGAGGACGTCTCAAGCGGGAGCCTCGTCTGTGAGTGAATCGCAAGGAAGTCTCAGGCGGGACCCCCCTCCCCATGGGGCCCCCAAGTCATGCTATTAATTTGGGCGGGCCATCGGAATCTTGTAACCTTCGTCACTTTTCGGCGCCTCGGGCTCGAATCTGCGGGAAATCTGAGGCGGCAGCCATGTGTGTGAGTGAATTGCGATGATGTCTCAGACGGGGGCCCCCTTCCCCATGCGGGCCGCAGCTCATGTTATTTAATCGCTTCGCTCATTCCGCCGGCCCATATTGTCGCACCGTTGTGGGCTAGCCGAGTTTGGGGGCCTCTTGGGGGCCGTTTTTGGGCCTCTTGGGGCCTCTTTTGGGCCTCTTGGGCGCCTCTTGGGGCGTCTTGGGGGCCTCTTGGGGGCCTCTTGGGGCCTTTTTGGGGCCTCCTGGGCGCCTTCTGGGGCGGAGGGCTCGATTTTTCAGTTCTCGGTTCTCCTCTTGAGCCCCTCTTGGGCCCGTCTTGGGGCCTCTTGGTCCGTCTTGGGCGGCACTTGGGCCGTCTTGGGGGCCCTCCTGGGCCGTTCCGGGGCCGTCTTGGGAGCCTCGTGGGCCGTCTTGGAGCGGTCTTGGGGGCCTCTTGGGCCGTCTTGGAGCGTCCGGAAGCCGAAAAAGCCAGAACGCAAAAAACATCGAAAAAACCAATGAAAATCAACGATTTTGGCCTCTTGGGGCCCTCTTCGGAGGCCTCTTGGAAGGCCCTTGGGGCGTCTTGGAGGCCTCTTGGGCTGTCTTGGGGCCCTGTTGGGCGTCTTCGGGCGATCTTTGGCCGTCTCGGGGCCCTCTTGGACCGTCTTGGAGGCTTCTTGGGGACCTCTTGGCCCGTCCTGGGGCCCTGTAACAGGGCTCCGGCATCTCTGGCCCGACCTTGCCGGGACCTTGCCGGGGACTTGCCGGGACCTTGCCGGGGACTTGCCGGGACCTTGCCGGGGACTTGCCGCGACCTTGCCGGGGTACTTTTCGTCCGGGGACCCCCAGGGGCCGCCCCGCGCGCGCGAACTAGAAATACTGTTAACCAGGTACCGGAGATCTTAGCACGCCCTGGCCCGTTGGGCCGGCGAATTAATCCGAGCGGGCCATCGGGATCTTGTAACTGCCATCAGTTTTGGCTTATTCACGCTTGAGAATGGAGGACGTCTCAGGCGGGAGTTTCGTTTGTGAGTGAACTACGAGGAAGTCTCAGGAAAGAGCCCCTTCCCTATGGGGCCCGCAGGTCATGTTATTCATTCGAGCGGGCCATCGGAATCCTGTAACAGTCGTTACCTTTGGGCCGTTGAAGCTTGCACAGGGGAGAGTATCCGGCGGGATCTTCGTTTGCGAAGGACTTGCGAGGAACTCTCAGGCGGGAGCCCCCTCCCTGTGGGGCCTGCAGCTCATGCTATCCGAAAAGGACTTCGCTCCCTGCCGCTGGCTCCCTTTCAATCAGAGTGAGGCATGCCAGAGCTATGTTGTATTTTCTCGGCGCCGTCGTGAAACAATGTCGGGACCTCATGATGGAGCAACTGGCGAATGGCATGTCTGGTTTGCGCGAACATCGCATAATTTACGCAGGTGTATGGCCTCGGGGACGCGAATATTCAGTAATTGTCATAGGCTTATGGTCTCGGGGGCGCAATTTACAACGGTGCAATGGCTTCGGGGACGCGACTATAATGCAATTTCAACATAATTTACAAGGGTTGGTGGCTTCGGAGACGCGAGCTCAGCGTAATTCAATAGGGTTTCCAGCGTCGGATGCGCGAGTAGTGTGTAAATTACGAGGGTGTGTGGTTTCGGGGTCGCAATTCTAGTGTAATTTACGCAGGTATGTGGCCTCGGGGACGCGACGACTGTTTAATTTGCGAGGGCATATGGCATACGGCTTCGGACACGCGACCATCGTGTAATTCACGTGGTGTATGGCTTCGGGGTCGCAAATATTGCATCATCTGCTCAGGTTTATTGGTCCGGCGACGCGAATCTCCCGTACTTTACGAGGGTTTATGATTTC